ACCTCACACAGTAGAAAGTGCAAGGAAGCTTTCTTGGGCCCTTTTTTATAAGGGCACTAATTCCATTTGTAAGGGCTCCATCCTGATGACCTAATCACTCGAGACCTGGTTATACCATCACCTTGGGTGTTATGATTTTAATATATAAATTTTGAAGGGATAAGCATTCAGACCATAGGGTAACTGTTAATTATATGTACAATTCTAGTTTCTGAGTATTTAAGAACTGGTTATCTCATGGTCATTATATATTGATGATTATTGAGTTTTTAAATTATAATGGTGTAGATGAAGCAGTTTAGTGGTTTTCCGTTCCTTTACACCTCTTTGTTTCATGTTTATGGTGACATAAATATCAAATCTGTCACAAATTGTTCCCTTTATATCAGTTTTTATCAAGATACTCTTTAAGGTAAGTGTCTAGATGGCAGTTCAGGATGTGATCTGCCTGACAGTTTTCTACCAGTTGTTCTCATGATTGTTGACATTGGTCCTTAATGAGGAGGAGTCACAGTAGATTGAGGGAAGAGCTGTGAGACTTTTGAAACATGCCATTTGTAAGATGGTGTGCGTGGGAGGAGTTCTAAGATACTAGGCATTGCTGGCACAAAAGAGTCGAAGTAACTTAGTTTAAAACTTTTAAAGTAATGCTTTGGGATGCTGTTTCTATCTAAAATGTGTGTTAGTGTTCATAGTTTTAAGCAATAAAAATCCCTCTAATTTAAACAGAAAAAATACTTTGAAAGCTTTTATTGGGTTACTCATAAAGTTTCTTAAATGGTAGAAGAACCAGACTTGGAATCTTAGTCAGGATAACACTCTAAATCTGTTGTTGATTGTTGTTGGTAGTGGTTCCTTCACTGGCCTGGGACAGTGAGGGCACCAATGTAAGGTGGTACTCTCTCAGTGACTTGAGGCAAAAGATACTCCTAAAACTGCTGCCAGTGCTTTTTTGTAAAACTATGGATTAAAGAAGGATGAACTAATTAAAACTGTATTAGCTATTGTTATTGCCCTCAACCTCACTGGAATGGATTGCTTCTGGTCCTTGTTGCTGCTGTTGCCACCTTTGCTTCCTTTTCTTCCATTTCCACCTCCTACTTTTCTTGGTTTACCGGAGTGACAAAACCCAGATCCTAATGTCCTTGTTTCAGTTGCAGTGGAGGTTTTGAGGTAAATACCTTCAGACAGTAATCGATGTCCTTATAGCATGTGTGGATTCTGAGCCCTCCCTGGCTTGTTGCTTTGCTATTGTTTTTATTTGTTTAATGACTTGCTTCAACTAATTCTTTTGAATGTGTTTTCCTCTCAATGTCTGCTTCTGAAATCACCCCCACCACCCTAAAAGTTTATTAGACTTAGTAAAGGCCAGCAAAAAACCAAAAAACCACCCAAACCAAAATAAGAAAATTACTCTAGAAACTGCTTCTCCAACAAAGCTCTAGAAGAGAAGGAAGGCTACAATTTGGAATTTCAAAGAAAATATTTGAAGGAAACTTTTACTGAAGGGCTACAGCTTTTTTCTTTAAAAAATTTTTTTTCTGCCTGGCTTTCTAGGGATTGTCCCTGGGCACTATATTTTAGTGGTCTGTTAATGATTGATTAGAGCAGCGGTTCTCAACCTGTGGGTCGCGACCCCTTTGGGGGTCTAACGACCCTTTCACAGGGGTCACCTAAATACATCCCGCATACCAGAGATTTACATTACGACTCATAACAGTAGCAAAATTACAGTTATGAAGTAGCAACGAAAATAATTGCATGTTTGGAGGTCACTACAACATGAGGAACTGTATTAAAGGGTCACGGCATTAGGAAGGTTGAGAACCACTGGATTAGAGGTTGTTCCTAAATGCCTTGAGCCAATAATTGTTTCATCATTTTTCTTTGAATCTGTTTGTGGTTTGGGGAATGTTTTCAAATTTTAGGAATTTTAAAGTTTGTCCTACATTCGGCCAGAGACTAGTGTTTGGTTGATCTCTTTAGTGTCTCTTGAGCAGAAGCCGCCTTATGCATGGAATAGCCTTCCTGACTACCAAGGATCTCCCTATTAAATTTCTGTCTGGTGTGTCATTTTGTTGTCTTTCCCGACCACTATTGTTGGGATTGTTTGCCACTGAGAGAGCACTCTTGTTTTTGACAATATTCCATAAGTGCTCCAAATAAAGGCAGTCCCCTCTTTTAGGGCCAGTTAACTGCCAATCTTTTTGGCCTGTCGTGTCTGCTCAGAGTAAAACTTCTGTGCCACAAACTCAGCAGTACTATGGATGCTGATGCTAGTAACCTCTAGTTGAAATACATTACTTACTGTGATTTGGTAGATTTTCTTGAATAAATGCTTCTTGTTTTGTTGTATGTCCTTTGATCAATTCTCAGAGACTTTAGTTCTTTTTGATAATATTTTTCTATTTTTTCATTAGTTTTAGGGGAGAGGATTTGCTGAGCTCCTTGCAGAGTCATTTTGGGAGCTCTGGCATTTCTATTCTTTTTAGTGGTCTGCAGTCTTCATACTGCAGCCAGCCGCTTCCCCTTCCCTGCAAGCTAGTAATTTCACCTCCAATTTTAAAAGTCTTTATATTGCTCTAAGAATAAAAAAAACAGACATTCTAACATAGTCTAAAATTGCCTCTTATATAGTTTTATCTTACATGGATCTAACTCCCCCTCCCCTCATTCTGGACATTATCCAATCATCATCATTAATTTAGGGAGCACTTTGCCTTTACAAATTAAGGCTCTGATCTGTGGCATAAGTGTTGGAATCTGAGGCATACAGATTTGAATTTCTGTTCTGAATTTATTAGCTGTGTGACTTTGAGCAGTTTGGTAACTTTTCTGAGTTTTTAAAAATCTAAAATAATGGTGATGGAGATCATCTCTATCTATCCTATATAATAAAAGGCTAATATGCAAATTGTCCCCTCGACCGGGAGTTCAACCAGGGGGCGGGGTTGGCCAGCCAACTGCCCATGGCTCTTCCCCCTGGCCGGCCTGGCCCAGTCAGTCCTGATGGACCCTGATCAGGGTGGGCCGGCCAGACCCCACCCATGCACGAATTTGTGCACCAGGCCTCTAGTTTATAGATATAAAAGCCTAAGTGACCATTCGACTGTTCGACTGGTAGCTATGACACATACTGACCACCAGGGGGCAGACGCTGGATGCAGGAGCTGTCCCCTGGTGGTCAGTGCACTCCCACAGGCGGAGCGCTGCTCAGCCAGAAGCTGGGCTCACTGCTGGCGAGCACAGCGGCGGTGACAGGAGCCTCTCCTGCCACTGCAGCAGTGTTAAGGAGCAGCGAGCCGAGTGGTAAGGAGCAGCAAGCAGGCAGGCAGTAAGGAGCAAGGGGTCCTGGACTGCAAGAGGGATGCCTGACTGCTGGCTTAGAGGGATCCCAGACTGCAAGAGGGTGCAGGCCAGGCTGAGGCATCCCCACCCCCCCCCCACCCCCCGTGTACGAATTTCATGCACTGGGGTTCTAGTATTTTATAATGTTGCTATAAGGCTTAAGTGAGATAATGTGCAAAACCGTTAGCATAATACCTTGTAGTTAGAAAGTATGTTTATTCCCCACCTGATATTCTCTTCCTATCATTTGAGTAAGCACTTTATATGAAATACCAGTATGCATAAGTAGAATCATTCCAGTATTACAGTTCCACCTATTTTAAAGTATATTTTTATTGATTTCAGAGAGGGAGAGAGAGATAGAAACATCAGTGATGAGAGAGAATCATTGATCTGTCACTTCTATTGATCTGCCACTCTGGGGATCAAGCCTGCAACCTGGGCATGTGCCCTGACTGGGAATCAAACCGTGACCTCCTGGTTTATAGGTTGATGCTCACTACTGAGTCATGCCAGCTGGGCTCCACCTATTTTTTGAGTAAAAGTTATACCTGAATTTCAGTTGCATTTAAATACATTTATTGAGTACCTCATGTCTAGCTCATAATATCTCATTTAACTTTTAAAAATGCTTTTGATTGAAATATAACATATTAAGAGTTTTGCCTTTAAATCAAGGGCAAATGTTTTTCCCCTCTAGAATGAGACTATTAAGATTTTCTTTTTCTTTGTGAATTCTCACCCGAGGATATTTTTTCCATTGAATTTTGAAAGAGTAAAAGGGAAGGAGGGAGAGAGAGAGAGTGAAACATCAATGTGAGAGAGACACATCGATTGATCGCTTTCTTCAGGCACCCCAACTGGGCCTGGGAAACGAATCTGCAACCTAGGTACATGCCCTTGACCAGGAATCAAACCTGTGACCCTTCAGTGAGACACTCTACCACTGAGCCACATGGGCCAGGTTCCATGTGTTTTTTTTTGAAAAATATTCACATCTGTAGAAGCAAAAATAGCATAATGAAATTTTATATACTCTAACCATAGTACAGTGATCATATATATGAAATTAACTTTAGTACATTACTATTATGTAATTTGACAGTCCATCAGATTTTTTAGGTTTCCCAATAATGTCTTTATAGCATTTCCCCAACCAATTAGAATCATGCACTTAATAATGTAGTTACCATGTTTCTTTATTTTCCTTTAATATCCTTGAATGGTTCCTCAGCCTTTCTTTGACTTTCATGACTTGATATTGTTTTTCAGAATGTTCCTCAGTTTGTTTCTCTGTTATTTTCATAAATTTGTTTAGGCTATGCATTTTGGGGCAGGGTTAAGGTGGTGCCCACCAAGCTTATTTTCTCTAAAGTTACCCGTTTCCCCTTTGTCATTAATAAGTAATGTGTGGAGATATATTAAGATAGTGTAAACATTATTTTTCCCAGTAAACATTGATCAAATGTTTTTTGCATCCTTTATTATGCTTGCCTCAATCAGTTATTACCAGGTAGATTATTAAAATTTTGATAATTTCTGGTGTTTTAATTTGAGTGTTCCTGAGTTTTCTTTATCTAATAGTTATAATTATGAAATACTTTGCTGTGAACCTGCTTATGTCATGGGTTTATTGTTTATGTGATTTTTAGATTCATATACTGGACAGACTGGGGAGAAGTACCAAAGATAGAGCGTGCTGGAATGGATGGTTCAAGTCGCTTCGTTATAATAAACACTGAAATTTACTGGCCAAATGGATTGACTTTGGATTATGAAGAACGAAAGCTTTATTGGGCAGATGCAAAACTTAATTTTATTCACAAATCAAATCTGGATGGAACAGATCGGTAAGATTACCTTATAAATTTATTTTTAACCTTTGATTAAACACCACGTGTCTTGATATAGTCATTAAATTATAAAGCCTGACTTTAAGAAGAAGAAATTAGTTTATCTTTTGCTAAGTGTCAAAGTGGAAGAAGAATGTACTTTCAGTTTGTTCTCAAAATGTAACTATTTCTCATCTGTTGGTAGCATTTAGAATTTATGAACTATATTTTCTCCTTCTTTACTCTGAGCTAATTTACTTCTCCAGTAGTTCTCAACTAGAGATAGTACTTCTCTCTCCAAGAGTTTTTGGAAATATAGGGGGAATTTTGATTAACATGAGGTCTGGGAGTGGTATTAGCATTGTAGCTCCAAGGGGCCATGCTAAACATTTTACAATGTGCTGGATACACAATACAACAAAGAGTCATCCTACTCAGAATTCCCCATAGGCCCCCTAGGAACTGCATATGGAAGCTCATTTGGGAAATCTCCACATTGGACAGAGGTTGATAAACTTTTTCTATGAAGGGCTAGTTAGTAAATATTTTAGGCTTTGTGGGTTATGTATGACTGCTGTTGCAACTATTTACCTCAGCTATTGTGGTGTGAAGGCAGCTATAGATAATACATAAGGGAATGAGCATGGCTATGTTCCAGCAAGACTTTATTTACAACACATATAGTGCATCAGTGGGCTGTAGTTTGCTGACTCCGGGACTAGGAGAAAACCTAGTGCATATACATAAACATGGAATTTCTACTCTGATCATGTTCAGATTTTTAAAAATATATATTTTTATTGATTTCAGAGAGGAAGAGATAGGGAGAGATGGAAACATCAATGATGAGGGAGAATCACTGATTAGCTACCTCCTGCATGCCCCACATGGGGGATCGAGCTTACAACCCTGGCATACGCCCTGATAGGAATTGAACTGTGACCTCCTGGTTTGTAGGTTGATGCTCAGCCACTGAGCCATGCCAGCCAGGCTGATCGTGTTCAGATTTTATTTTTTTCATGTTCAGATTTTTATAACACTTCCTATTTACATTCTTGTGTTTGAATGATTATTTAGGTTTCTAATGGTCTCATTCTAAGACTCCAACAAAAATCTAGGGAGCCTTAGGTACAGTTGAAGGAATTTTTCAGAGTAAGCATTTGTAAGTATCTGAATGATGAATCAGGAAGCATTTAAAAGTATTGAAAACCAGGAAAGATTTAAATAATTTATTAAGATAATGTTTTTATAGTCATGGAATTAGAGTATTTTTTGCCTTGTTTAAAAAATGAATGAAATAACTTAAGCCAAGGTGGTTTAAAAACAATCCTATATAATAAAAGCCTAATATGCTAAGTGTCCGGTTGTCCAGTTGGCCATTCAACCAATCAAAGTGTAATATGCTAATGATATGCTAAGGCCGCTCAACTGCTCACTATGATGTGCACTGACCTCCAGGGGCAGATGCTCAGACTGGTAGGTTAGCTTGCTGCTCGGGTCTGGGTGATCCGGACTGAGCGAGACAGGCTGGACACGCCCTGGAGCCCTCCAGTGGTCCCTCCCCAGCTGGCCAACCTCCCATGTCCCTCCCTGGCCCCGATCATGCACTGGTGGGGTCCCTCGGCCTGGCCTGCGCCCTCTCACAATCTGGGATCCCTTGGGGGATGTTGGAGAGCCGGTTTCAGCCCAATCCCGCAGGCCAGGCTGAAGGACCCCACTGGTGCACGAATTCGTACATCGGGCCTCGAGTTGGAAATAAATGTCAAAAAAGTAATAAGTATATAAACATGAATATATAAACACTAGAGGCCTGGTGCACGAATTTCTGCACAGGTGGGGTCCAGCTGGCCTGCCCCGATTGGGGGTGGAGGGGGGCGGGGCCGGCTGGGGGTTGGGGCTGTGGGCAGTTGGGCAGCAGGCCCCGTCCCTGATCGTGGTGTTGGGGGCCGATTGGGTGCCAGGCCCGCCCGGGGGAGGGGGGACAGTCGGGGCCTGGATCAGGCTGGTTGGCTGCTGCAGTGTGTGTCATAGCCACCAGTCATTCCGGTCGTTCTGCCACTGTTCCAGTTGCTGGGCTTTTATATATATAGGTAATTGTTGTGTTTGAACTTAACATTTGGCTTTGAGAGGGGCACTGGTTGAATGTGGCCATGTCATAGTTTTCTTGACTCCTTCAGATACCCATACAAACACCCATGAAACTAGATAGCAAATCCAAAAACATATAATAAATAAACCTCAAGCATCCACAAATAAAAGCAAGTAAGGGCAGACCACTAATAGCTACAGACCTCCATAGTATTACTATCTGTGCAAGAATAAGTGGGGGGAGGGTGAATTATATAGGATGTTTCATTGCACTTAAATGCAGGAGACCTCCAAAATAGCCTCAATGATTTACTAGACAATGTGGTGGACTATATTAAGAGCAACAGCTGAAATGACGGGGGGGGGGGGGGTTGCCCACTCTAATATCAGGCAAGTACAGTGTGTCCATGGTAAAGACAGAAAAGGATAGAGCAGTTTGGCTCCAAAGAATTCTTGAAATGGACTTGCTAGAGTTCTCTACTAGAGCAGGATACCACACTGAGTGGAAACAAAATAGAATAGAATAGTATCATCAAAATTGAGAAGACTAGGGAAAATGAAAAGGAATGAAAGGGAAAGGAAAGATAAAGTTCAGTAAAGATAGAGGAATAGCTGGTGATCTCATAAAGGAAGCTTCCATTGTCTTTAATATTACATGAAAGCAACAGAAGACTGAATTCTGTAAAGTTAGAAAAACTACCTTTACCACCACTTTTTTATAAAAGTTCAGGAAAACTAATTTTACATAAACACGAGAAACAGAATTGTCAAGATTAAGTCCCACTTAAGGTATTGTAAGGAACATCTTATTTATAGCAGTATTTTAAGCTGATAACAACTTAACTTTGAACGCATAATTAAGTCCTATACTTTTACTCTCCCCCACATTAATGTTTCTGATGTTACAATTTACATCTTTTTACCTTGTGTATTCATTAACAATAACATTGTACTTATTTTTTACTACTTTTGTCTTTTAACACATTTACCCACCACTATTCCAACATTAGAGTAATCTGAATTTAACCATATATTTGTCTTTACCAGTAAAATTTAAATTTTTATATGTTTTTCTGTTACTGATTAGTGTTCTTTTGTTTCAGCTGCAAGAAGTTCCTTTAATGTTTCTTGTAAGGCTGATCGAATTGTGATGAACTCTTTTAGCTTTTGCTTGCTGGGTAGAGTACAGTAGGTCCAGGAACTTAACTCTTGTTTATGTCAATTAGCTTGTGGTAAAATTTGTTTCATTAGATGTCATTTCACTTAAAGTCGCAGAACCTATCAGAGATATTAAATAAGGACTTACTATATTTTTGTTTGGCAGTTTTTGTCTTTCAGCACTTTGAATACATTGTGCCACTCTCTCCTGGTCTGTAACATTTCTGCTAAAAACTCCGTTGATAGCTTTGTGGGGGTTCCCTTGTGTGAAATAAGTTGTTTTTCTCTTGCTGATTTAAAGAGTCTCTTTAACTTTTGACAATCCTATACAATAAAAGCTTAATATACTAAGTGTCCAGTCAAAGCATAATATGCTAATGATATGCTAAGTCCACTCAACCACTCGCTATGACGTGCACTGACCACCAGGGGACAGATGCTCCGACCATTAGGTTAGCTTGCTGCTGGGGTCTGGCTGGTCAGGACTGAGCGAGATGGGCTGGACACGCCCTTGAGCCCTCCCACGGTCCCTCCCCAGCTGGCCAACCTCCTGCGTCCCTCCCTGGCCCTGATTGTGCACTGGTGGGGTTCCTTGGCCTGGCCTGCTCCCTCTCACAGTCTGCGACCCCTCAGGGGATGCCGGAGACCCGGTTTCGGCCTGATCCTGCAGGCCAGGCCAAGGGACCCCACTGGTGCACAAATCTGTACACCGGGCCTCTAGTTTAATTATAATGTATTTTGGTGTGTGACCTTTTGAATGAATAGTTTTTGGAACTTTCTGGATGTCTTTTTTTTCTTCCAGGTTAGGTAAATTTTTAGTCATTTTCTTCCATTAATATTTCTGCCACTTTCTAGCCTTTCCTTCTGGAACCCTTATATTGCAATTATAGTCCACTTTATGGTGTCCCATAAGGCCCTTAGGCTATCTTTACGTATTTTTTTAGCCTCTCTGATTGGGTGACTTTCACTGCCTAGACTTTGAGTTTGCTGATCCTTCCTTACATTTGAACTATTGTGCTTTTGTACCCTTCTATTTGAAGTTTTCAGATCAGTTATTGTATTCTTCAGCTCTGTGATCTTTCTGTATACTTTCTTATTTTTTTTTTTATCTCTTTCTTGAAATTTTCACTTTGTTCATGCATTGTTCTCCTGACTTCATTGAACATCTTTATGACTGTTATTTTGAAATCTTTATCAAGTAAACCATGGGCCTCTGTTTCATTAAGGTTTGTTTCTAAAGTTTTGTTTTGTTTTTCTTTGTTTGAATATATTTCCTGTTTCTTCATTTGCTTTGACTCTTTGCTTTCTGCACATTAGATAAAACAGACACCTTTTCCAGTTTTGACAGAGTCATCTTGTTTAGGAAATGAACCTTATCAATCAGCCTGGCCCTAAGCTCTTGGTTGTCTCTCAGACTTTTGTGATTGTCCAAGCTACCTTTTTTTTTGTCTTAGTGGCTGGCTCCCAGTAGCTGAGGTTGTGCCAATACTGGTCATGCATTTCAAAGTGGAGGATAGCACCTCGATGAAGGCTGATTGGAAGCTGGAATCCCAGGCAGCAGCTGCAAAAGTATACAGCCAGGGCCCTTCCAGGGAGAAATTTGGAGATGGGCTTTTTACCTGCTCCCTCTATGTTGGATGTGGATATATAGCTGCAGAAGGGGTTGCTTCTATACCCATTAAGAACTGCTTCATTACTTGCTACAGTCCTGAGGGACTTGTGGATGTAAGTCTTATTGGCTTTCAGAGGCAGGCTGTCTAGGGCCTCATCACTTGGGCAGCATGGAAAAAGCTGGGGCACTAGATATGTGTACAAGCTGAATCTGTGGAGATAATGGAGGTTTGGAGTAAGCTAGGATGGAGGTTGCGTCTGCCAGCTTCTTTGGTCTATCAGAAGGCTTATATCTGCTAAAATAGAAGCCTGAGCATTAGACAGCAGCTTTCAAAGGAGGCAAATAGACTTCTTTCAGGAATAACTTGAGAGATGGGCGATTCTGACTGCTCTGTCTGTGCTCATCCCTGCTGGGATAGATTCCTTTTGTAAGCCTCATGGTAAGGTAATCAAAAACAGAAACCTATTAAAATTCTAATGGTATTCTTCACAGAAATAGAACAACCCTAAAATTTGTGTGGAACCACAAAGTACCCTGAATAGTCAGAGCAGTCTTGATGAAGAAGAACAAAGTTGGGGGCACTATACTTTATAATTCCAAACTATATTTCAAAGCTATTATTGTCAAAACATTATGGTGTTGATATAAAAACAGATAGATCAATGAAACAGAATAGAGTCCAGAAATAAACAAATGCATATATGCTCAATTTTAATTTACAAAACATAAGCCAAGAATATACAACAGAGAGAGGATAGTCTCTTCAGTACATGTTTGGAAAATTGTGCAGCCACATGCAAAAGAATGAAATTGGACCCGAAACTCAAATGGGTTAAATACTTAAATTTCAGGTCTGAAATTCTAAAACTTTTAGAAGAAAACAGGGAAAAAGCTTCTTGAATTGGTATTGGCAATGATTTTTTGGATTTGACACCAAAAGCAAGGCAATAAAAACAAAAATAAACAAGTGGGACTACATCAAATTAAAAAGCTTTAGCATAGTAAAGGTAACCAACAAAATGAAAAGGCAACCCGTTGTGCAATGGGAGAAAATATTTGTAAATTGTATATTTGATAAGGTGCTCATATCCAAAATATATAAAGAATTCATACAACTCAATGGTAAGAAATACAAACTATGTCATTAAAAAAGGGGCAGAGGAACTAAGTAGATTTTTTTTTTTAAAGTAAGACCTATATTCAGCCAACAGGTAAATGAAAAGGTGCTTAACATCACGAATCATCAGGGATATGCAAATTAAAACCACAGTGAGTTATCTCACACCTCTCATAATTTCCATCATCACAGAGACAAGAGATAAACATTGGTGAGGATGTGGTGAAAGGAAAACCTTTTGCCCTGTTGGTGGGATTTTATATTGGTACATACAGAATATAAAACAGTATGGAGGCTCCTCAAAAAAAAAAAAAAAAAATTACTATCGTATAATCCTGTAATCCCTCTTCTGGGTATATATCCAAAGGAAGTGAGAACAGAAATTTGAGGAAATATCTGCTCTCCCATGTTCATAACTGCATTATTCACAATAACTAATATTGCATAGAAACAACCTAAATGTCTATCTGTCAGTACATGAGTGGATAACTTGTGGTGTACATATACATTAATGGAATATTATTCAGCCATCAGAAAGAAGGACATGGGACTTGAGGGAATTATGCTCAGTAAAAATGAGTCAGATAGAGAAAGGCAGGCACTATATGGTATCAAGTATATGGAATCCCAACAGAAAAGTAAGGTCAAACTCATAGAAACAAAGAGAAGAAAACTGGTTGTCAAGGGCTAGGATGTAGGGGAAATAGAGGTTGGTAAAAAGGTTTAAACTTTTAGCTATAAGATGAAAAAGGTCTGAGGATTTAATGGAATTAAATTTTTAATACAGGCGTGGTCATCCCTGGCTGGTGTGACTCGGTTGAGCATCATCCCTTGCACTGAGGGGTCGCTGGTTCGATTCTAGGACAGGGCACATACCGGGGTTGTGGATTTAATCGCCAGACAGGGTGCATATAGGGACAGCCAATTGATGTTTCTCCCTCTTCTTCTTTCTCTAAAATCAGTAAAGACATGTTAACATTTTAAAAAATATATATGTACAGGGCAGGGCAAAAGTAGGTTTATAGTTGTGAGTATACGAAATAGTTTATTCTTGTATTATTGTTTATGAATTATTGTATTATTTATTATTATAATCTATTTTTGCCCACCCGTGTATAACATCTATAATAATAAAAGCATAATATGCTTATTAGACCAGACGACCTTCCGGGAAAAGCCGGGGTTGTGAGGGAAGCCTGGGTCCTTGGTGCCTGCCAGCAGCCAGAGAGAAGCCCAGGTCCCAGGTGCCAGAGGGAAGCTGGTGCCCATAGCTGGGGGAAGGAAGGCCTCCTCTTGCTCGAATTTCGTGCATCAGGCCTCTAGTTGTGATTATCATTGATTAACTGCATTATATATACTAGTAATTGAAGTTTGTTAAGAGAGTTGAACCTTAAACACCAAACAAACAAAAAAAATTGTGAGATATGATGTTTAACTAGATGGGGGAATCCTTTCACAATTTATATGTATATCTTATCACTACATACACCGTGATATCTATCCATTTTATTTGTGGATTATACCTCAGTAGAGCTGAAGAAAAAAATGTTATAAAGAAAAAAACAATGATGAACAGAGTAATGCTTTTCATAGGAAACTTCCTAAAAAGATATCATAGAACAGATCAAAACCTCCATTTTAAAATGCACTATCAGTAAGTGAAATGTTACCTGTCAAAAACCAATATAAATTAAAATTAGAAGCTCAGAAATTAAATGACAGAATCCAGGGAAGTATAAATAAAAGAAAAATCATTATGTATGTAATTTGCAATTTTTAAAGATTGTTAATGAAGTGCTGAGTAGTTTAGTTTTTACTATTATTTTTCAGTTGTGTTACTTGCCTTTCTTGGCAACTTCTCAGAACTCTCTCTCTATATTTTACCATAATGAATTCCGAAAGACTTCAGTATGAAATACGTAGGTCTATTTAAATTTGGACTTAAACTATGATATCATTCCTGTAAATGTCATAATCACTGTACGGAACTTAAAGCTGTTCATTTAAAAAGTGGAGGACATTGTAACAGTTCTTTTTGGGAAATGAGGTGGAAAAGTAATTTGCTAGGGAAGAGAGAAATAAGAAAAATGAGAGGAGAAAATTGCAGTGATTGGGCTGGTAGAGTAGATATTAGGTTCTAAAATAAAAAGTTTGTTTGCTAAACTAGTAATGCTAATTGTGTATTCAGTTTTTTAAAAATTTGCCCTAAATGTAAAACACCTTAGGCTAGAGCTAGACCCATTTCATGTGCAGTAACGGATGCTAATTCTGCTTAGATAAAAATTATTTTATTTATCTCAATTTATTTTACTGGTAGTCTCTTAGATATTACAGATCATCAAATAACCTCAAGGACCAAAAATTGAATTTTCTTCCCTAAAATATGTGATATTCTTTATTTATCTTCAGTTGCTTATATTCTCACTCCCTCTGTCCCTGCCCCCCCCCCCTTTTTTTCTCTCCCTGGGCTATTTATGAAACTATTATATTTGATATTATGAAAATGTCAAAGCATTTATTTTCTTTAATATTATTTCGGCTCAGAACATTTTTTGTTTATTATTCAAGAGTATTTATTAATTACATCACTCTCCATGACACTCTGCAAAGTTCTGTGCCTTTAGTACTAAACAGGCAGTCTACCTTTTCTTTCATATAGCATAGATTGCTTGTGAAGGTTTTAGGTCTGCTTTATCTCATGAACACATTCTGCCAGTGGCAGGACTTCCTTTTTGCTACGTGACTTGTGAAGGTTAAGAAACCATATAGCCAAAAGTTAGCTGAGATGATCTTGTGCTGGACTAGATGGATTTCCAGAGAAAGCTCTACCAGAACGCCTTTTTAGCCTTATGTGTATGTTTTTACTTTCAGTTATCGAAACCATACGAAGTGATGGAAGAAACAGGCTTAGGTTCTTTGTTCTTCCACATCAAGAAGGGAAAAAACCTATTGCTTGCTTGCTTATTTATTTATTTTTAAAATATCTTTTATTGATTTTTTTACAGAGAGGAAGGGAGAGGGATAGAGGCTTAGAAACATCAATGAGAGAAACATCGATCAGCTGCCTCCTGCACACCTCCTACTGGGGATGTGCCCACAACCAAGGTACATGCCCTGGACCGGAATCGAACCTGGGACCTTTCCATTGCAGGCCGACGCTCGGTCCACTGAGCCAAACTGGTTAGGGCCCTATTGCTTATTTAAAACTGCTTCCCAGGGCCAACCATAGGATTTTTCTTTTTGCTAACCTTTCTCCTGTAATGAGATGAATTATGTGGAAGGATGGAAGATGTGAATTCAGAGATGGGAATTGATAGCAGTGCTAATATTTGGGCTTCTCTGTCTGGTAGCTTCTAGTGAACCTGGGGGCTGCTACCAAATTAGGGACCATTCTGAAGTACTTGGTTTGGGGGTCTTGGACATTGTGAAAATATATTTGAATTTACTATGTGACTTATTTTTCACAGGTGTATTTGACCTTATGATACTAGTGTGTGTTACTCAGGGTTTGTATGTGTTAATGTGGATTACAAAACCATTTAATGGAAGAGATGAAATTCTGATAAAATAATAAAATTTAGAAATATATGAGTTTTTCTCTTTGTGTTAATAGGCAGGCAGTGGTTAAAGGTTCCCTTCCTCATCCTTTTGCCTTGACGTTATTTGAGGACACATTGTACTGGACTGACTGGAATACACACTCCATTTTGGCTTGCAACAAGTACACTGGCGAGGGTCTGCGAGAAATCCATTCTAACATCTTCTCTCCCATGGATATACATGCCTTCAGCCAACAGAGGCAGCCAAATGGTAAGTGATCTTGATTTTTAAATTGCAAGTTGGAATAACTTTGAAGCACTGTGATGCCTTGCGTTCTTGAGGTGCAGGAGGACATGGTAGCAGGGAGGAATTAAACAATAGGGAAAACATCAAAATACACTTCAGGTTAAACAATAGCCTAATATCTATCACTACAGATGACCTCAGCCCCTTGTTTGGATTTAGAGTTATAGAGGTGGAGAAGAGGGAAATAAGAAATTGAGATAGCTCATACACAAATGTATTTCTTGTTCATATTATGTCTCTCTAATGTGTGTTTGATGTTTCCTATGAGTATGTTTAAAAACAAACTCTTCTTGAATGGAATCTTCTGTTAATCTAACTGGTAAATTTAAGTACCTCAGTTTGCTGAATAAAATACCTACAGAAACTTTTCTGTGCACACTCCCATCCCCTTTTATCTTAATTTTGCTTTTGTTTTTTGGTCAACCTTTACAATGGTTTGGGCTGTGACTACCTACAACAATTACTTACAAAGGGGATAGAATTAGATTTGAAGGAATTTGAGAATGTTAAATGTTTGGCAGTTGTGTGTAAATAAATATTTGGCATGTGTCTGATTGTATTCCATAGTCAAAAATGAAGAGTTTTTAGATTATACATTGCTTTGTATTAGCTCCTTCTATTTAGGGCAGCGGTTCTCAACCTGTGGGTCGCGACCCCTTTGGGGGTCGAACGACCCTTTCACAGGGATTGCCTAAGACCATCGGAAAACACATATAATTACATATTGTTTTTGTGATTAATCACTATGCTTTAATTATGTTCAATTTGTAACAATGAAATTGGGGGTTGCCACAACATGAGGAACTGTATTAAAGGGTCGCGGCATTAGGAAGGTTGAGAACCACTGATTTAGGCGGGACATAGTTAAATGTTGAATTTGTTATATTGGAATCTTGTGATTATGAGTCCATAGAAATGCTTTTAAATGTATGTGTTGCTCTTTTGTTAAAAAGAAAATGTTTAGTCATTTGTATGAATTTTTTATTCTCATGATTAGCTCTCAGGAGAGAATTTCCATGTTGTTGTTTTTTTAATTGCACTGTTGGTACTTTGTGTTTTACTAATTTGAGAATTTGCATTTATCCGTGATATTACTTTCCTTAATCTTTAATATTTTGTTGGCTTCTATCTTACTGATTTTTTTCTATGAATATTATTTAAATCTATTTTTTTCATAGATTCTACAAATTCCCTTTTTTAATCCATATGCGTATCTTTTCCATGTTAATCTTTCCAAAGTGGTTTTGTTTTTTTTTTTTTTTTTTACATTGGAATTACTTTTCTTGGTTATCAGTCCCTTCTGCCAGTCTGTTCTCATTCTCTGTGTTCATTCAACTTTAGTTCTTATTAATCAACAGAAACCTTAATTTCCAGTTTGACTATTCACTTTATTTTCTTTCCCAATTACAGACTTCCAGCTTTTATATTATGGTTTCACCGCGCTTGAAATGTCTTCTTTCCTGTCCTTCAAGGCCCCTGTCATATCCTACATCCTCCATGAAGCTTTTTTGTTTTTTTAATCTCTAATGATTTATTTCCCATTTGACTCTATACTTATTTACATAGTCTATAATGTGCAACATAGGCTTTAGTTTCATGGTTTTATATTGTTAATTTTGGCTTACCGATTAGATTGTAAGCTTTTTTAGGGCAGGGACCTTCTGCTTTATTTCTGTGTATTCCTCTTGGATACTGAATGCTAAATAACTTCTTACTGATTAACTCCCTTCCTTGCAGATGTTCTGGTAGTCAAGCACCTGGATGGCATTTGGTAATAATTTGGTTTATCAGAGTTGTTCATGTTATGGTTGTTAACCTTTGTGTACCTAGAGTGAGAGAGGTCATCTATAATCATTGGTATTAATCAGTGTGATTTATACTTGACAGCTACAAATCCATGTGGAACTGATAATGGTGGTTGTTCCCATTTGTGTTTGATGTCTCCAGTCAAGCCTTTTTATCAGTGTGCTTGCCCAACTGGGGTCAAACTCCTGGAGAATGGAAAAACTTGCAAAGATGGTAAGAACATGGTCTCCAAGAAGGAAACATTTTTAATAGCAATTGGAATTCTTTATGATTTGTTTTATTTCTCTATAATAAGCTCTATATAGTAGAGTGCTTCAGGAGACTCGTTACTTAATCTTAGCTTCATAATTGGTTAAATAACAGGAGTGTTTTCTGTTTTTTGGCCTCTTGCAAACTATTTTAAAAATTATTTTAGTATTTTTAACATGCTGTTTTTGAAAATAATTAGGTGCTATTTCTTTTTTCTATCAACTCTTATAGTCATTTATGTCACAATTGATTCCTATGGAAATGAGTATTCTCATAAAAAGTACATTTTTAACAATAGGTAACACTTGTACATAAAGAACCTCTGTGCAAGGAAAATATGTTTATTAAACTTTTAACTGTAAAGACTATCATGGGGGTAGATAATATTGTCTGAAAAAGAATGATATTTTTAATTGCCTTTAATAACAGAGAAGTGCTTTCAGAAGAAGAAAAAGTTGCATATTGTACTGTTTAAAGCAACCTCTCTCTATACATAGCAACTACACTGCCTCTTCTCCTTACTTTCTTAATTCTCTATAGCAGTGATTTTCAACTGGTATACTGCGAGAATTTTTAAAACATGCAATACATTACTATTTAGTCAGGTCACTGACCTCTTTTCCCTTAGATTGTCAAATTAAAAAATGACAACAGCCAACACAACAATAGCCATTCAGTGTGAATGAATCAAAATTATACTTTTTGGTCAGATTGGCAAAAAATATATTTTTTGGTGTGCCGCAGAGTTTTAGTAATTAGTTTATGTGTGCCATGAGATGAAAAAAGCTAAAAATTGCTGCTCCATAGAGAGAGGGCATGTTGGAGAGGTATACTGGTTAGGACATTTCAGGGGACTTCTGATTTGGGGGAATACCAGTTCTTCTCTTATTCTTCTTAATCTGAATGTTATTCTTCAGTCTCACCCCTTTGGATCACCATCTGGTTCTCTAGCCACCAGCAAGACCTGGTAAGAAAATTGTTGTATTTAGCAGTGGCTTCTTTATCTAACTCTGTACAGCAGAAGCCGTTTTTTTCAGGGTGAGTTAGAGAGTTCCTGGCAGGGGGGTCATGGAGTCAGAGAGATGGAATTGAGCCGGTGTACAGGATATTTGTCATGACTTGGCATTGATAAATTATTCTCATAGTCAAAGGTGAAGCTGGCTGACTCTTGTCAGACGGTTTCCATGGCAAACAGTAATTTGGTTTCAATTTAAAACAAAAGGTTTTTGTAATGTTTCCTTTTTGTTTAAAAATATGTAGCCTGACTTTAAAACAGGATTTATTTTAGCAATAGTGGTCTGTCTACTCCCTCAAAGGGTACATGTTTAACAACTATTTTGAAATTCAGATATATATTTGACCTGTAGTAGCCTTCAGTTAACTATTCTGTTTTGATCACCTTGCTTAAATTAACAGCTTAACTTTCTGTGACTTCTTTGTTTACAAAGTTTTGGGCTGCCTCCTTTTGACAGAGCAAAGGCAGTAAATTTTGCAGTTATTCCTACTTGGTGCCTGCTATGGCATTTAGGGCTATATTTTCTTCAAGACAGAGTTCATTTACAATTAATTCTACATTTAAAAAGCTGATGCTGAGAGCTTTACTCTTTTCAGTTTAATGCTAGTATTTTCCTTTGCACTTACTGCTTTGGTTAGGAATCTTTTTTCACTCTTTTGGATGTCAATTTTCTTACTAGCTTTTATAATTAGATGACTTTTTGCTAGTGATTTACTTGAATAATTATAAATATTCTCAGTCTCTGCTGTATTTTTATTGAATACTAATTTGAGTTTAAAATATTTCATAAATAAATTGGATTTAAAACTCAGTGAAATAAAAATTTGAAAGTATTTTCTAATGATAATAATATATTAATATTTATTGAGTACTTTTATGTTCAGTACATTCCTGAGTGCTCGAATCAACCCTGTGAGATACAGACAAAGTGACTAGGCTTAGAGAGAGTGGGTGTTTTGTCTAAGTTTGTATAGCTACTTGAATTCAGTTCTAGCAGATCCACAACTCGTACTTTTAACCACTGTTACATTTATCTGATACCCTCTGTCTTCTGTTGCTATTTCCTTCAGCCAGGCCTTATCTTATAGTTAGCTTTGTCCACAGCTTTACTGAGATATAATTTACATACCATAAAATTTAGCCATTACAAGTGTACAAGTCAATGATTTTTAGTAAATTTACAGAGTTGTGCAACCATCACAATCCAATTTTAGAATATCTTTATCAATCACAAAAAGACCTTGTTCTAGATGACCTTGTTCTAGATTTCCTTACCTTTTAAAGAAGCATACTTAATATGTGTGTGTGTGTGTGTGTATGTGTATATATATGTGTGTGTATATATATTCATTTATTTATTGCTTTCAGATAGAAGGGAGAGGGAGAGATAGAAACATCAGTGATGAGAGAGAATCATTGATTGGCTGCCTCCTGTATGCCCCATAATGGGGATCAGCCCACAACCTAGGCATATGTCTTGACCGCAAATGGAACTATGACCTCCTGGTTCATAGGTCAACCTTCACCACTGAGCCACAATGCCCTGGCAAAAGCATACTTTTTGAACAAAGGACCTATATCCTATCTCCTTCCTCTGTTAATATTCAGCTACTTAATTTCTTAGTCACTACTTACTTAGTATTCATTATACCTTTAAGCAGCCCCCCAGAGGCTGCATATAATGAATGAAACCAGAGTTCAGTCATTAAAGAGCTTCACCTCATAGTCAAGCTATTTCTATTTCACTGCATTACTTTTCATTTTCACCTTAAATAGATGCTAGTATCCTTTTATACTACGTGTCAATTCCTAAAGGAATTCTACATTCTTTATTTAGAGTTGCTCAATTTTGCTTGTGTGTTTTAATTTTATTTTCTTCTTCTCATTTATTCTACTTTGTTCTAGGTGCCACTGAATTATTGCTTTTAGCCCGAAGGACAGACTTGAGACGCATTTCTTTGGATACACCAGACTTCACAGACATTGTTCTACAGTTAGAAGATATCCGTCATGCCATTGCTATAGATTATGATCCTGTGGAAGGCTATATCTACTGGACTGATGATGAAGTGAGGGCCATACGCCGCTCATTCATAGATGGATCTGGTAGTCAGTTTGTGGTCACTGCTCAGATTGCACATCCTGATGGTATTGCTGTTGACTGGGTTGCCCGAAATCTTTATTGGACAGACACTGGCACTGATCGGATAGAAGTAACAAGGCTCAATGGGACCATGAGGAAGATACTGATTTCGGAGGACTTAGAGGAACCCCGGGCTATTGTGTTAGATCCCATGGTTGGGTAAGAAGCTCTGCTAATAGAACATCTTGCCTGGTATTTTTGTTTTCTATAGGTCCCTAAATATATTGACAAAAACAATTTGATATATGGTTTCCAATAAATGGCTTTCCATTTTTGGTATATAGTGATTGTAATAAAATATCAAGTTAAAGAATTGCTAGTTTTACCCTTGAATGTTTTGAATACTTTTTCTTTCTAAATTAAGTCCATGCTTGCTGACTTTGTGTGTTGGCTGCAGATTTTGTCTAGGTTGCATCATGACCATGAAAAATGTTAAAAGAAATAGTTTTCAGAACTCTTTTTCTTCCCCTTTCATTTAATTTCATTTTATTTTCAGTACTTCTGGAATGATATGGTAAAAACATATCTTCTGTCATATATTTTCAAATATATAAATGACTATATTTTTAAAACTTTGTCAGGCCATGCAGCTTGACTCCCAGTCTTTTTTATTTTTTATAGGAAGGAAGAAGTTATGAAGAGCATGCCCCCCTTTTTTTAAAAAAGTATATTTTTATCCATTTTAGAGAGGAAGGGAGAGGGATGGAGAGATAGAAACATGGATTAGAGAGACACACTGATTGACTGCCTCCTGCACGCCCCCTACTGGATTGAGCCTGAAACCCCGGGCATGTGTCCTGACCAGGAATTGAATCTTGAACCTCTTGGTTCATGGGTCGACGCTCAACCACTTAACCACACCAGCAGGGCTTATTTTTATTTTTGTGACATAACATCCTGACCGTAGTCCAGGGAAACAAAGTTTTCTACATACTCACCAATGTTATTTGTTAACTATGATATTCATCCTGAGGGCAAACGTAGTGGCAAATCCTTACACTTCTGTATATACCAATGCCTTAGAGCCAATTAAACTCTCAAGGGCCTGAAGAATCACTTGGCACTACAGTGAGAGTTTGTTAGAGAACTCTGTTTATTACTGACTAGAGGCCCGATGCACGAAGATTTGTGCAAGAATGGGCCTTCCTTCCCCCTGGCTGCCGGTACCGCCTTCACTCCGGCCGGAGCCGCCTTTCCACCTTCCCACGCTGCCCAGAGGCCTGGAGCGGCTGGGGTGGTGCAGAATGCCTGCGTTGTCGCCATGACGACAACACAAGTGTCCTGCCCTGCCCCTCCCCGCCCCGGGGAGGGAGCACAAAATATTTTGAAAAAACATAACTAAATATGGAATCTCATTATTTATTGGAAGGCATTTTTATTATCAGTTCTAGAAAACACTTTTTTAAAAATATATTTTATTGATTTTTTACAGAGAGGAAGGGAGAGGGATAGAGAGTTAGAAACATCAGTGAGAGAGAAACATTGATCAGCTGCCTCCTGCACACCCCCTACTGGGGATGTGCCTGCAACCAAAGTACATGCCCTTGACCGGAATCGAACCTGGGACCCTTCAGTCCACAGGCCGACGCTCTATCCACTGAGCCAAACCAGTTAGGGCTCTAGAAAATACTTGATATGAAAATTCCCTTCAAGCTTATACACTGCTAGTATAAATGCCTTAAACATACTCTTGGTATGTTTAAGTGCTATTTCTCCCCCTTCTATGGTGTTTATTGATGACTTCAGTGTGATATGACTGGTCGATCTCACCTTAGTATATCTGAAAGCTATAGTTTATTATCTGTTTTTAGCTCATTTTTTTTGTGTGTGTGTTTACTTCTATAGGTACATGTATTGGACTGACTGGGGAGAAATCCCAAAAATTGAACGAGCAGCTCTGGATGGTTCTGACCGAGTAGTGTTGGTTAACACTTCTCTTGGTTGGCCAAATGGTTTAGCCTTGGATTATGATGAAGGCAAAATATACTGGGGAGATGCCAAAACAGACAAAATTGAGGTTTGTTTCTTGCTTTTCATTTTAGAACCAATTTTATAATGGTTTTGAGTTATGGTAATTTGATGCATATATTCTTGCCTTTTGTCTGGGGTTCTAGAGGAATCTTTTACAGAAATTTTGCTCAACCTTTAGGATTCTAGGAATTAATGTGTTTTCATGCACCTAACCCTAGGATTTCTGAGTTATACTGGTATGAGAAATGGGTATTCATCTTTCATATCACTTATATGAATGATTTTCTTCATTATGGGTAAAAGCCACTGCCTAAATTTCCTAGGGGCAGTTTATGCACAAAACAAATGTTATATAAGATCTATACTGGAAAAGCTGGTAGTCATGTCAGGAAAACAAAGCCCATGTGTGTGTATAGCCTTTTTGTTGTTAAATTGATTATGAACTATGGGGAGAAAGATTAATTAACCAAAGCTTGGGAAAAATATTTACCAAACTAGAGTCCTGGTGCATGAATTCATGCACTGCACAGGTGGGGTTCCTCAGCCTGGCCAGCAGTCGGGGCTGATCAGGGCCATCTCACCCAGTCCCGATTGGGGCAGTTGGGGCTGGTGAGGGGTGGGCGGTTGGGGGGTGGGGGAGGAACCACAGGAAGTTGGCCCACCACAGGAGTTTGGCTGTGGGAGCGCACTGACCACCAGGGGGCAGCTTCTGCGTTAAGCATCTGCCCCCTGGTGGTCAGTGCATCATCATAGCAACTGGTCGACTGGTCATTCTGTTAACCAGTTGTAACAGTTGCTTAGGCTTTTATCTATATAGGTGGTAGAATTAAATTGTAGTATCAGAATAGAAGTATGGTGGAAACAACTAGTGGTGAGTATTTTTTCAGTGTTTTGTAAATGGTTTATAGCTTTAATATTGAGCATGAAGTCTAAATTTCACAGCTTTGAATTAAGCTGTGCTAGAAATCTTACGGATTGCATATTTAAAACAGAGTTTTGATCATACTATTCCTTTGAGGAATGCATGACTTTTCATATCAAGAATCACTTTGAATGTCTCTTCAAAGCCACAGCAGGTATTTTCTAGTACATAGATAATTTGGGATCTAGAGTTTTTATTTCAGAAAGGTATTCTTAGGAGTTCCAGGGACTCTGAGAGAATAATGAATTGAAGGGCCTCGCTTCAGAACGGAAACTTGGAATAGAAAAATCCCATCAGTATTCCCACCAGGCTCAAATACTGAAAACTGCATCTCTTATTCTTGCAGCTGGTTTCCATTAATAGAAAATTTTTCGTAGACTTGACTATATAAATTTTCTCCCTGTTGTTAGTGTTTTATTGCCCCCCACCCTTTAAACCCAAGTTAGTGTTTCAATCTTTAACAGCTGGAGTACAGTGCTAATGAGACAAAGGTTATGGGTTCACTTTTCAGAAGGCTATTAGCTTCACTTGGTTGGCCTGAATACAAATTGCACACCCATTCCCAACCAGTTCACAAGTGTGTATTGTTGATCAGCTGTGGACTATCCATGATTGATAGGTAATAACTACTCTTCGAAAAAGTTTAAAGCTTATGTGTCCAAGAAGACTGTCTGTACATAAGGGAAGAGAACATAATTAAAGTAGGGAAGAACACTTGATTTCTTATTTTGTAGGGATTTTTTAAATTCCATATTTGGTCTTACTTTTTTTTTAGCTTTCCCATTTCAGGTCACTTTTAGCACTTTAAATATAGAAATTTATTCAAAATCACAAATAGTTCAGGAGGGATTCACGTAAAGAAATGAGAATTTATGGAGGTTCTGAGTGATAGTATTTAAGAATAAAAATGAAGCCCAGCTGGTGTAGCTCAGTGGTTGAGCGTTGATCTATGAACCTGGAGGCCACGGTTCAGTTCCCAGTCAGGGCACATGCCTGTGTTGCAGGCTCAGTCCCCTGTATGGGGGGATGCAGGAGGCAGCCAATCAATTCTCTCATCATTGATGTTTCTATCTCTCTCTCCCTTGCCCTTCCTCTCTGAAATCAATTAAAAATATTTTTGAAAAAGAATAAAAATGAATACACATTACATAACAATATGTAATACTGATTAATTGCGAATTATTTTCTTAGTTTGCTGTGAATCCAGTAGATCTTAAAATTAGTATTTATTCCGATATCTTTGTCTGTTGTCCTGTGCTATATACATTGTATACAGGTGTATATGGTAGTGTCATTTGCTCCCTCACTTACTTCTTCCTTGAGTGGTACCAACATTTTTAAACTTAACTTTTAGATCTGTTTCTCTTCTTCCAGCTTTGCTAGAACACAGCTTCTATTTGTCTTTGTCCTCTTTTTGACAGGTTATTTGGGGTTAATTGTACATCTAACTTCCACTAAAATATATACACACACACACCTCTCCTTATTCTGTCCCCTGAAGATTCTGATGAAGTTTCCCTAATTGAGCATCAATGCTTTTGTCATTTTCTTTTCACAGACACATTTGGGAAATAAAGAGCTGGTGTTGTTATTTTTTCTCTTCTGAATTTAGGATGATGTGTAAAATCGCTGATATATGACAAACTAAGGAAAGAGCGCAGCTCCTTACCTAAATTAATCTTATATAATTGGGGGAGAAAAACTGTTAATTTCCCTGAGACTAGTAGTGATTATAGGAGCAACTGCCACCACTGGCTTTTCATCTTGCTTTACTGAATAGTAGATGGATTATACTGAACTTGAAAACTTCTGAAAAGATATATAATTTTTAAAATGCTTCTTTTTCTAGAAGGTTATTTGTTAGCCTTTGTTATGTAGCAGCTGATCCTAAGTACTGACCTGACCCTAGTCTAGGTCACATGCTCTCCTCTAGAAGCATCCTTTTAAGAAAGCTTCCTAACTTTTGTCATGCCCAAGAGTGAAAACTGCTTTTTTTTCCTGGGTCAATAAGAAAATATCAAATTATGGATTTAATAGCCGTGTTCTTTTCTGGAAGACTTAGAGTTTACTTGGGATCAAACTGCCCTATATGTGTTTATAGTACATTTGGGAAGAGAAGATAGTTCTTTGGTAAATTACTATGTAGCATTGTAAGGCATAGTAAATCTTGTGTTTCAAGTGGATCTTATGGGAAAAGCTCAGAATGTACATTTGCTATTTGCTTCCTTAGTGGAGATTCCTTAGGTCGGGTTCTCACTCCCTTTTTTTGTAAGGGAGGATAACCAAATGTTGGATATATTGGGGAACTGGGTCTAAGGATTAGGGAAACCAGAGAAAAGTAATGGGAAGCTCTGGGTTTGAGATTCGATTTTTATTATACAGAGTTGCAGAAAGAATAAATAGGTTTATCTGAGGTTTATAACCATCTTCTGTAGAGAGGGATGAGGGGACACAAGGATTTGCTAATGTCAAACTTTCTGAAAGACAGTCATAATATTGGCCTGTGGTTTAATATAAGACTGCATCTGTGAGGATATGTCTGATTTTCTTACTTGTCACCTGAGAGTGACTACTTACCTGTATGTGTCAGTTAAAAGCTACATGCTGGTACTTGTTTATGCTGCTTCATTATGCTAATATTTAATTGCCTTTTATGAACCAGCTTCTGGTTTACTTGTCTGCGCTGGATTTCCCCGCCCTTTCTCCACCCAAGTGTTAATATAGTGTTTTGGGGCTTCCTGATAATAAATATTAAAGCATGTGCAGAAAGGATCATTTCTATTTTTCTGATAGGGGAAACTTGAAATAAGCCTCCATTTCTGCTTTATGAGATCCTGCAGTAGGCAGAAACATGTTGTGTCTTAACATTCTCATTTTTCTTGGTCAGGTTTCACTGCCAAAAACATCTGTTGCACTGAGGGTTTCTCCACCTCCCCCTGCTCCTGAGGGGTGATCAGGGCAGCAGCTACCACTCACACCCACTGATGGTGCCGGCCGCGCTTGTACCCGCTGCTGGCCCAGGCCCCAATCGCTCCTCGCTGCAGGTGCGAGCAGGGCTGGCGCCGTCAGTGCGTGGGAGCAGCGGCAGCGGGAGCGAGGCTTCTGGCAGAGAGGGGAGGGGAGGAGGGGAGGGCAGGGGCGGAGGATGGGCTAAGACCCACCCCTGTGCCCACCGCAGCCGTGCGGCCCACAGTTCCTTTCAAGATGGACAAATTCGTGCAGTGGGCCCCTAGTTCAGTATAATTTACTAAGGTGATGTTGCTGTTTATTATGCCTTTTTCTGAAAATCTGTTCTCAATTTTATAGTTTTTCTGTGCAATTCAGATTTTAGAAAGCTTTGGTGACAATAACAATTCTTAGTTCTCTCTGTAAAAGAACTTAGTAACTGCAAATATTTAATATTTTAAGCATGACTTCTTGAAAAAAAATAAAACGATCTAGTGCAATTATGATACTTTCCCTTCATATTAAAAAATCACTTGCATTTACTTTGAACCAGGTTAAAAGGCTTTAAATGCAGCACTGTCATTGCCCTTCCTGCTCTCTTAAACAGGTGCATGGCATCCCCTTACTTCCCCTACTTGGTCCAAAGCATTTCTCTTTACTTGTCACCCCTGCGAGATTCTGCATGACTGAAATGTTATTTCCATGGGTATATATTTTATTTTATTTTATTTTATTTATTTTATTTATTTTATTTATTTTTTAAATATATTTTATTGATTTTTTACAGAGAGAAAGAGAGATAGAAAGTTAGAAACATCGATGAGAGAGAAACATCGATCAGCTGCCTCCTGCACATCTCCCACTGGGGATATGCCCGCAACCCAGGTACATGCCCCTGACCGGAATCGAACCTGGGACCCTTCAGTCCGCAGGCCAACGCTCTATCCACTGAGCCAAACCGGTTTCGGCTATATTTTATTTTTTAAGTGCCATTTCTGTTAAATTATATTTTATGTCCTATGAAGTGTATTAATCAACCCCCAATAATATCTATTTGTCTGTCTTAAAACTTCTGATTCGCTCCTTGATTTAGCTATTGCCTGGAACATTAGAAGAGGAATAGTTCCTTGTGAGCATAATTTTAGTTTCTCTTTTACTGCATAGCATTCCCACTCCAA